GGGGGGGGGGGGGGGGGGGGCATGCCCTCTGACCCCCTAGTAATACACCCTCCTCTGCAAAATCTTCGTTCTCTCTAACAGATGAGCCTAGGTCCACCCTTGGAAGTAAACATTCTGCATCCCACCTTTGAGCAATTGAGATACAATTATGTATTATTTCCAGCCCTCGTACCTCCAAAATGGACCTCCTTTTCAGCTTCAGCCAATTTTGATTCTAACTCCATAACCTAAAAACAAACAAAATGGTTTATCTCTATGGAAGTTTCCCTCTTTTTCTGTTTTCTTTGACATTTGGTATATAGTAAGTTAAAATACTTACTGACTGACTGGGACTGTCAGGAAACAGTATGTTTTATGGACCCTCAACTGCCAATGTTCCCCTCTGCTTTGTCTCGGGAAATATTGGTAGTCTCGAGTCCACAAAACATACTGTTTCCCAACAGTCTCAGTCAATAATCACTGTAAATGAATATTGAAATTTTAATGAGCCTTGACATTTTAACCCGTTAAGCTGGCATGCTCTCCCCTTGACGAGTAAAATAATAAAGTAGGGCGCAATGTGACTCAATGGGTTAGGTTGCGAAGGTTGGATAAGGATAAACCTTAATAAGGATAAACCTTGATAAGGATAAACCTTGATAAGGATAAACCTTGATAAGGATAAACCAGAATATACTGCTGGCCATACATTACCCACAGGTCCCTCAAGTCATTGGTACTTAGTCGAAGGTTGCACATGAAACCATAACCACGGTTCGATAAGCACCCACACCCCTACCCCAACTAGACCTGCCTGATCTAAAATCCACAAACCTTTTTCTGAAGTCGAATAACTGAGATCCATTTTTTCTCAAGTAGTCCAGAGTATTTTTTATCTGTTTCCTCTGGCTAAAAAAAGCAAAAATGTGCATAATGGTACATTTCATTTATAATACAAGATTCTTATCATACCGTGCAAATAGTAATTCCACAATCGGTACTCACTAAACTGGCATCATTTTTAAAAGCTTCTAGAGTTGCAGAGAAACCAGAGGATTGAAGATAGTCGGCAATAGCCTTGTTCCTTAAAATAAAAATCTTGCTATTACAATACAACATTTGGGCAACGCCATCATTTCCCCATTTCATTCATTTCATTTCATTCAGTTCTAGCCCCACCCTGTGAGCAAAAGTTCAGTACCAGCCCACATTTTTGCTCTCAGAAAGGATTGGCAATGTGACGGCATTTTGGCCAAAAGGCCTGACCAGTTGGAATTTTGATTGACAACATAGTACATTTTACATATGGGTACTTGTCATATGAAAACTTGTTGTATGGAAACTTGCTATATTATCACTGGTTTAATGCATTCACACCTAACCCATTGAGGAAATTGAAAGTTAACCTATACAATTATCATTCTGGCATATGAAAGCAACTCCTGACACCATTATTCCTGTTCATCAGTTTATGATGGAATTTGAAAATGTGATGTCTTTACACACATTTAGGTCATATACCAGAATGGCAATACAATCATATGTGACTAGTTGTATAATGTAGATGGCCCTTAAAGGGTCACATCCATATTCAAGATGCTGTGCAAAACATCAAATTGACGTTTTGCGTGGGTAGTTGGGTCATAAGTGTTAAGGCCTGGTCACACTACACAATGATGGCGATATGATCAATTGTAAACACGCAATAATTGGCAAACAAATTGTGTTCTAAAGTGTCCACACTACAACGAATATGATAAAATGATCGTTTGACGATGATTTTAAAATCGCTCACCTGAGCGATTTTTTTTCAGTTGGACATTAACAATAAATTTTTGACCAATCAACGCGCGTAAACAAGTTGTCGTATATCGTTATCGTTGTGTAGTGTAACCTGGGCTTTAATCTTTGATGTTTTTCGCGAATTTCACTGTGGTAATGTAGTTGTCCAAAAGCTTGTCAAAAGTTATACCACGCTTGACATTTTCAAGGCTGGGTGGGTGGATTTGGATAATTATCTCGTACCTTGCGTATTAGCAGCTTTCCTATTGGCTACAAGGAGGTGCGTTCAATCTCGAACCCACCTGCTGATGTATGTTTGGGAGGGGGGGGGTTCGAGATCAATGTTTCTGCGGCAGGCATTATGAAGCGATTTGAACAAATTTCCGACAAAGATTTAAATAAAAAATAAATTAACTGTTTTTAATTGTTTTATAATTATTATTTTTTTATTTTGTTTGATGAAAATGGAAAATTCTGTATTCAAAGTGGAAGAAAATATGGCCACCGAAATTTGTTCGGCACGAGCAGGTTTATATAAATCTTGGCAATGTTTTCACAGAATGTGTGCATTTTCTCTTTTCAAGAATAAGGGAATATTGTAGAGAATTTTTTAGGTTTAATTTAAGCTTATGACATGGCTATGTTTGTTTGTTTGTGTAGTATGTTGGCAGCTACAATGTTTGTTATCCAAACAAGAAATTATGGACTAAAATGCGTAAACTCTTCAGTACTTTATACCGAAATGGCATGTGATAAAACCAAACATACTTGCAGGTTCGGTGAGTCAGGGATTGGACGCACCAAGGGTGGCCAGAAGTTTCCCAAACTTACCGAGCTTCGTCGCTCGGTGAGTTCAGGAAACTTCCAGCCACCCTCAGTGCGTCCAATCTCTGATTCACCGAACCTGCAAGTATGTTTGTTATAAAACCTCAATTTGACGTTTTCCGTGGCAAATATTTGAACATGGATGTGGCAAAATAACAATGTCAAATAACTAACATTATTATTGGGTGTTTGCCATTTCTTATCAAATAAGTCTCGGTCAACACAATATCACAATATTATTTACAACAGAGGCAATCCAAATATAAACTGCTAGGCACACACTAAAACGTCTGCATAACTTTGGTTGTACAAAGTAATGCATATTGACATTTCTTTAGAATGGCTGACATGAATACAAAACAACGTTTAGTTATAATTAAATCAAATTAATTTTACACAAGTGTACATTACAAATTTACAATAAGACTTACAATTCCTCTTTCTGACGTGGTGTTAAAACCATAGTTAAAGACCCAAGCATACAATAAATTCCTCAACACTTCGGATAATGTCAAAAACGAGTCTCATCGCGTCCTGAAAAGCAAGACAGGACATAAACATGTATGCAAATCAAAATAGAATACCATTTATGACCTGCCCTTTGCAAAAGCATGTTGTCATTATCAATCAGCCTCCCAAACCCTGAATTGGAGGCTAATAGATTGTACATTTAATAAAAATAAAACTATGTTTACAATTTGTAGTCGCTTTGGGCAGCTTCAGACGATGGGCGGTAGCCAATATACGATAGCTCGTTGTCAACGGTTTTATATTAATTTTCCAGAATTAACCCCACTTTACAAAACGCACAGGGTTTTTCGAGAGATTATCGCATCTCATCTGAAGCATTATTAACCCTTTCGGCCAAATATCGCCACCGGAAACCACGCAAAAACACAACATGTTCAGAAATGGCCATTGGACAGATCACTAGCTGGCCACTGCAGATCAAAACGTCGCAAATTCAAGGCCGTTTTCGTCAATTTTCTGCCCGTTTTTGCCATATTTTCAACGCATATAGTATAATACACATATTTACCTTGGTGTATATGTCGTATCCATGGCTCTAGTGCAATTTCCTGGGCGAAATAATGAACAATTTCGACGATTTTTGAGATGAAAAATGAAAATACTTTCACACCGGTTTTCAACGATATCCTTCCCGGCAAGCTTTACGAATCACGCATGCGCAGTACCAGGAATCGTGGCGAACTACAGGGAACCCATTCATGATTTCCGCGAATATCCACGAATAGTAAATATTTCAAATAGCTGGAAAATTGGAAATTTAACCCCGTTATATTATTTCAGAACTTTAGAAAACTACTGGTGATCCATTCATACACAAATTTTAATCAAACTGACTACACATCAATTGCAAAAGTATTCTTTTTTATTTATTCTATTTACACATAATTTCTCAGTCACAATATCCGTGTTTTGTTTTGTTTTGTTCTGGTCTAGTCCCATTGCTTCGGTGGTTCCCTTTCATCAGAGCTGGTGAACACATATCGGTGCGACCACAGTTAATAAAATGCATGGTGACTAATAATAAAATAATAAAATGTTTGGTGACTCGGCGAAAACACAATACAGCTCATTATCTATGTTTGTGTAGGTTTATGCAAAAATATGGGTCCTATCTCGTCACGTGTTTATTGTATTTTTTCGAAATCAACCAATAGTAATGTGTGGATGAACAGCTGAGTTAGAGAATATTCACCTATTGGTTGTGACGAGAACGGAACAACTTTTTGCATAAACGAGGACAATAACATAGATTGTGCTGTATGTGAGCTTCCAAACCATGTATATTTTATTAACTGTGGTGCGACTAACCCCAAGTATAATTTTTTATATTTGTAATATTTGGGTCATTCTAAGAAGAAATGTAATGTAGTAAAAAAACCCATCTTAATCAACTTTTTCACTGAAAAAGTTTCCAGATATGATGACATTTAGTGAATTTTTGGTACAAAAAAAACAAAGGAAAACTAATTTGCAATTCACCTAATGACATCACATCCGGAAACTTTGACAGTGAAAAAGTTGATCAAGATGGGATTTTTTATTATTAAAATATATTACATTTCTTCTTCGAATGACCCAAATATTACACATACCAAAAAAATCATATTTGTGGTTATTCGCATTTTAAAGAAATAACAGTCGATACCTCCTTTGTGCTTCAGTCGAAAAGAGATAAGAATACTACTAGCTTTGTTACTATTGACATCACCTACACTGGCACACGGTCAAGATTCTATTATTAAATGAATCCTCGTCTGAGGACCTCATCGATGCCAAAACATACGGTATGTAATACATCATGGCTTATTTAATCTTTCTCGCCATTTTGTTTTGTAGAATAAATACAGTTCGGTGCTGGAGATCTTCATGGTTAATGATCAATGAATGCTTAGAATCCAACTTGAAGTTTCAAGTCGCGGACTTCTTTCACAAGATTGTGAATGCAGTCACTTCTGAAAAAGAGAACGTATCAGTTAAAACAATGCAACAAAATGGCAGGGAAATATTAATAAAACAAGCTTGCATTCCCAATAGCTAATGAAGTGAAAAAAGTTTGTCCAGTGTAGGTAGTACTCTGTAGTACGCTATGTCTGAACTACCTGAAAAAGATATCTCAAACGTGGTGGTCCAGTGTAGGTAGTATTCTACAATAAGCTGCCGTGGTTTGTGTTTGAACTAGTTGAAAAAAATATCTCAAACGTGGTGCATGGTTCAGTGTGGGTATAGTATTCGACAATAAGCTACCGTGGTTTGTGTTTGAACTATTTGAGAATGATATCTCAAACGTGGGGTCCAGTGTAGGAAGTATTCAGGAATAAGCTCCCGTGGTTTCAGGATGTGAATCACCTGCAAAATATATCTCAAATGTGGAGGCCCACTGTAGGTAGTGAAAAAGAGTTGTCGCTCAAAACGTCAAAGCATTTTGAATCTATAATATTTTTGTTTGTGGAAACACCACGAAAATTTATTACTGCATAGTTTTCGATCCGTAAGCCCGGATCTTCATCAGTGCTAATAATATATGACTTCACTTATTCACGTGGTGTTTCCACAAACAAAAGTATTATACGTTTTATCGCCATGCAAACCTACAAAGAACTTATTTTGAATGTATTTAGATAAATAGTTCAGACACAAACCACTGCAGTTTATTGAATATAGTCCGCCAGACGTTTTCTTATTGTGATCATCAAGCCGGGAAACGCGGGTTCAATTCTTGGTCGGACCTCTACTCAAGGTCTTAAAAATATCTGACGAGAAAGAGCTACCTTTACAATGACATCAGTAATTGGTTAGACGTTCGCGTCTTCTCGGATAGGGACGTTAAAATCGTAGGTACCTCGGAATCCCTAACAATTGGGCAATCGCCTGTTGTGAAATGCGCTCACCAATGAGTGTGAGAAACTGGATAAACTAATGATGAGTAAATCAACCTACTCTTCCTTCAACAGCGATGTCAATTGAGTTTGATGACTTGCTGATAAGGTTCTCGCTTTTGGCTTCCAGCTACCTTCCTCTTTCCTGCCCAAGTATTTTCGTTTCTGTTGTAACTGGAACGAGAATAATACTATTTTCAACGTTTAGGTAGGTTTTTACCAAATATCTGTTTTTAATCCAACCAATCATATGTCCAAGCATATATATTACACTTCCTTAATACCTGATCAAAAGATTTTTGAAATATTTTAATATTTTTAGCCATTTCTTGCAGTTCTTGTTTCATTCTTATTTCAGCATGAGACAGCACAGGTTGCCTCGACTGTATAAACTCCAACACATTCTCAATTCTAAATACAATACATTCTCAATTATAAAAATATACAATTCTGAAGGCCCGCGTTTACACTTACAATTTCTCCTGCGATTTCTAGTGCGATTCTCTTCTTCTGAAAGATGTGAAAGAGTAGACGAGTTACGAATGTTATTATTATTATTATTATTATTATTATTATTATTATTATTATTATTATTATTATTATTATTATTATTATTATTATTATTATTATTATTATTATTATGAACTATATTTCAACACGGTACAATTTCATCTATACTAAAATTAATTATGTACAAGATATAAAAAGAAAAAAAGGTGATCTTCCAACCGGCCGTGCTCACACAAGCAGAAATAAGAAATAATTACAAAACAATTATTTTAGGTAGATGGAAACAATGGCAGGATTACTTGATGTTAACTTGCATGCTTCAAGTTAGACTTAAAATTAGCAATAGTTGTTGATGCTTTTACCGATGCAGAAAGGCAGTTCCAGACTTCCGCACCCCTGTAGTATGTGTACCCTCATCTGAACATTCATAACTCGTTCACATCCATCAGAAGAATGAAATCGCACCTTATGACTTATATTGCAGGAAAAAAAATTACAAACCTTTTCAAAATCAATTCTTGTCTATCTTTCGTATCTTCATATTTCTCTGCCAACATCTCCATTCGTTCTTGCAAAGATCCCTTCTCTTCATTCAAATATATCAGATCCTCCGTTTGTTTGTCACTTTGCCTGCCTAGGATATCCAACCTGGTCAGGAATAATAGTAAAGGCTTGTTTACCCATAAGGTACGAGGTGGGGGAGGGGGCGGGACAAGCTTCTACGCGTAAGTTGTTACCTCTTTATGCTGCTTGTATGAGACTGACCAGAACGAAGTCAGAAAGGTCCCATACAAATGGGCTCAAATATTACAGAATACCTTCGTTCAATTTCCTCCTGTGCCAACTTCTGTCTGTTGATGTATTCCACACGGAATGTATGAGTTGCAGCAGTTAAGAATTGAAAACAGTCTTTGGGAGAAAGATTGGTGTTCTCTGATGAACTTCTGAAAAGAACACACGAAATAAACATTACTTAAGCCCGGTGTTTACACAATCAAAGTTTCTGCGATCACAGTAGGAATTTTGCATTGGTAAATTCCAAGTTTGGAAGGATTTGTAGAAAAATGTTTGAGTGTTTAACACTCACTCAGTTCTCTCAAACATTTCGTACAAATCCTTCAAAACTTACAATTTACCTTTGATTAGGGATGCATGCCCGCTCCCCCCCCCCCCCCCCCCCCCCCCCCCCCCCTTGGCGCAAGTCAAGACATTTCTTTTACCTTAATAAAGGATTTGAAGTATCCCGCCGTAGAACCTGTTTGATACGGTTTCCAAATTCACCGCCAGAGCTCAGCCGTTCTGAAGAATCGTTAGGTCTAGATAATTTTACAAAACAAGTTTTTCTTGGTTTCTTGAAAATTTAGAGCTAAACATACAACACACCAACCGTCTCTACACACGTAAAAACGCACAAGTTGTTACAGGTCTGCAAACAAGTTGTTACAAATTTGTTCACAAGCTGTCGACAAGTTATGTTCGCACTGCTTGTTCCCAGTTGTTGTAACAAGTTTGGAACAAGCTGTTGACAACTTGTAACAAGCTTGATGGCATTATTAGACTTGTTATACAAGGTTGTTCTAACAAGTCTGATAGAGTCATGACATAGCAAGAATGTTACAAGGTTGACGACACAAGTTTGTAACAATACTGTAGTGTTTTATCATGACTGTATCGGACTTGTTGGAATAATCTTGCAAATCTGATAATGCCATCAAGCCTGTTACAAGCTGTTAACAGCTCGGTTCCAAACTTGTTGACAGCTTGGGACAAGCAATGCGAACACAACTTATTGACGGCTTGTTTGGCAGGCTTGCTACAACATGTGAAATTTTTACATGGGAATGTTTCATGGGAATGTTTCATATTCACATATTAATTTGCGCCATAAAAATCGTAGGTATACCGTAGGAAGAAGTTGTTGTTTACTCACATGTCGTTTAATCCAGATTCTTCTGAGATTGGAGAAGGCGATGGGGGACGATTTAAAAATCTATCAAAGCATAAACCAAATAAAACATACTTTGTTAGTAGAGCAAAGTTAGAAAAATTTGAGTAAAATATTACAATGACATACCCGATATATCACGTGTATATAATTAGTTCTTACTTGAGTGATTTGGTAATGCATTCCATAGCGTCAGTCAAGGCGACAATGGTAGCACCCAGTTCCCAATCGCACACAACCGTAAAACCAATAAGATTAACAGAACTATACAAAGAAAATTGAAGCGTCAAAGTTCAGCGAAAAAATATATTTTCTGGTTGGGAGGGGTTGCATTCGAGCGGGGGGAGGGGCGATAGTGCTGCCTATAGGTTACATAACACATACGACTTGATATATAGGACTTGATCTGTTCCTAGGGCGCCTTATGCGGGTGCTGAGGCGGCCCAGGTTTTACTTTTGTAGCTCCCCTGTTCCCCACCGTCCCTGTAACACATTGAGCAGTCTTGGTCTTTTTTTAATTTGGCAAGGCTTGCTTAATTATAATTAAAGTAGAAAAGTAAGATACCTCGATGGAACAGGATTGGTGCAAATAAGATGTTGAACAATTCCATTTTCGTTCGAATCGAAGCTCACAACTCGCTCAGTTTCTGAAACACAGAATAAAAATCTGGCATTCTAATTTGCAACAGAGTATCCTTTTGAATTCAATAAGCCAATTTTAAAGCCAGACGTGGTAAACGTGTCGGCCAATCATATTTTGCAAAATTTTCTTTCTGCGGAAAATTTTCTGAGTGGAAATGGACCTTAAAGCCGGTTTTCCACTAGGCAAAATTTTTCGACGGAATCGAAATTTTCTTTTGTCTTACAAGCACTTGAATTTGAACAATAGAACTTTCGGTTCGACCGAAAAATTTCGCCCAGTGGAGAACCGCCTTTAAGAACCCAGGCCTTTCACTGCGTGACCAACATCACAGTAGATTTGTGCTGGTCGACAGGGGTGGAAAAAATATTTTACTTTCTGGGACCGCAAGAGAACGTTGAAATTTATCTGCATATAATCAGGTAAATCGATACTCGGAGACTGTAACAACACTAACAAGTTGTCAAACTGATCGTCATGCTATATTTTAATAGAAAAAACATGGATTCAGTATTGGACTCAGGCATTCAAATTATAATGCGGCACGATTTTTTTTCAGTCTCGTGTCTCTGTAGGATTTTTTTTTAATGCATTTAACCTCTGCAAGAATTTTTTTTCAAGACTATTTGTACATTGCTGTTTGCTTGCACGAATTTTTTTCTCTGACGTAATGGCTGCACGAATTTTTTTCCAGGCATTTTTCTTTGCACGAATTTTTTTTTTGATTTCTAATGGTCCGCCCCTTATCAGATTCTGTACAGTAATTCAAGGGTGACTCTCGTGTATAAGAAGAAGTAGATTCCTCACCATTACAGAACTGATGAAGATTTCTCAGCCAAGGCAATGTAACCGTGTGAATACCAGCTGGATGAAAACAGTGATAGCGATTTCCCGAAGTGTCATCTATACAAATACACAAGCAGAGATATATACTTTAATACGTAGTCTACGTAATCCAGGTGATCTGACGGTGAGGAAAAGGACTGGGACTAGCAACAGAATAAAAATCCAGTTTCGTACCTTTGATCACTTGTCACGCCCTGATTCTTTTGTGAAACTGTTTGAAACTTTGTGTCTGTGTCTTGCACAGAGAAATAAGTGTCTGGGACAAATTTGAGATAGAAATCTAATATCGTTAATGAGATATTGAGTAATTTTAAACCAGAAATGGATTTCTATTTTACAACTAGTGCCAGGCCTTTTCCGAGTTCCGAGATCACCTGGATATTAATCGGTAGCCATTTCACTTATGCCCTCTTAAAATACCTTTAAAAAGTTTCACAGTGTAAGTTTCATCCTTGTTTTCAAAAGTTTCTGTTGCGAATTTATCCGTATCTTCGAAACTTTTCTCCTGTTCAGAATTTGCCGAGAGAGCAAGTTCCATACATTCATAAACATAAAGAGATTGCGTGGACGCTGATTGAGAAAACACACTGTCAGCATGGCTGCTCACGCCATCACTTTCATCCTAAAAAGGAACGAAAATAATATACAGATAAAAGTTTTTTTGTAATTTTGTCCGCAGCTGTTCATTATAAGGGATGTACTGAAAAAAATGAACGATCTTGCGTTATATATTCCTTATCATTCGTTGCATATTCTTTAGTTAAATAAATGGATAAACGGATAATCAAATAGTCAGTTAAGTTCAAAGATAGTTTTTTTTTACAATCTGGGGAAATTCATGTTTTTATACATAAATAATAGGCTTCCTAGAAACTTTGACAACCTAATGTTACGAATAAAACAAGTGCGTGGCTATGGTTTGCGGAGAGCTGAATAGATGATCAAACTGATTATCAATTTCCTATTTGTAATACAAAATGACTGAAAACAGCAAACTTCGCAAGGCTATATTATCCGCATTTTAGAACATTTCGCAACGAAACTTCGGAATATTACTAATTTTGTGATGCTCTTTCAAGGCTGTGATGAAATTGTTGTCCAGGCTAGTCTAGATCAAAATTCCACTTAAAAGGAGAAAGGTCTATTGTTATACTATATGTAAGTATCTGTAAGTATCAGATATACTGTATGTAAGTATCATTGCGTATAACTAAGTTACGCCAATTCTCCGTGTCCTATCAAAGTTCAAGTTTTTTTAATACACTGAGTAACGAGGTCGTAGAATATTGACACAGAATAGAGACAAAAAGAAGATCGACTTCTTGGCGGTTTTTCCTATGATTTTGGCGTACCGTAATTCGTCATGATCAAAATGCCGACGCCATAGTCCTAGCCAGTGGGCTTATTAGAGGCATTCACCCCTGGTAATATTCAAAATGCCAAACGTCCAGGGGGGTGAATGCTTGTCATACGCGCACTGGCTAGGACATAGAATATATAATAGACCAGAAGCCTCACTGTACACCTTTCCTTAACATTTTCGTGTCCGCGATTTTCGCACGCTAGATGACGTGTGTGACACTTGCTGCGAACATCACGTCAGCGTTCGTCAGCGTCAATTCCTCAAATCAACGGTTTTTCTTGAAATTCGAAAAACATGCTCAAAGTGTACGCTGCATATTCTGCAATTATTGTGCAAATATTTGACGCTTTTGTTTTTTACGTTGTGTCTTCCTGTTGTGATGACCCATTATTTGGACCTGTGGCATTTAAAAACGGTTAAAACAGCAATCTTTATTACCTAGTGATGGCAATTGATGGCGTTGCTCGCGCTTGATGGCGCCGTGATTACACTTGCTGGCTCGCGCTTGCGCATAAAAAATCTCGGACTCAATTTTGGCTGAGTGAGGCTTCTGGTCTATTTTCTATTCTGTGGCTAGGACCATGGCGTCAGCATTTTGATGACGAATCATGGCGTGGCAGCGGTCACGTTCTTCTTGGCTGTGTCGACCTTCTGTGTGTCTTTATTCTGTGATATTGACTCGGCTTACAAATGGTTTGCTAAATACATCCTCTTCTTCTGAATCCAGAACAATACAATGATAGATGACGCCACTACATGTTGTTATGGCAACAACGACAGGGTTTGTTGGGAAACAAAGGATATCGCACGAGTCTACGCCATAGTTGTCTTCTGCAGGGGGATATACTGGCAGGCAGCCTTGAAGTTCGTAGAAAAATCTGAAAATAAAACATTTGGCAATGTTCCAGTTCACAGTTTTCATATATCCGGACAGAATGTTTATATACTTCAGTTAAAAAAGATCGAACAACAAAGAACATTAAGTCACAGCGCCTCCCCTCCCCATTGCCACACCCATGAGGATTCTATTTCTTTTATACTTTATTCTTTCTTGCACAGGGACAGAATCAATTCTTTCATACTTGTGATTGCACACTACCGTAGGAACCAATTTTGTATGGGGGGGGAGGGGTGTGATTAGACAGGGGCGATTATTAGGTCATTATTTCCCTCTCAAACTTTAAAGATTATCACTAGTTTAGAAATTATTGCCCCCCCCCCCAGTTGCTACGGCCCTGTTGCATTTGCATAGACATCAAACGTTGTTTCAAATCTGGGGGGGATGAAGTGGAATGGGCTATTACATTTAAAACCCAACCCCCCCTGTCGAGGACCTCTGCTTTTGGGGATTTTTACCCCTCTGGAATGCAAAAAATCTGTGTAATTGACCCCTCTGGAAGAGACTTGAAAACCACTCTGGAAGTGCATTTTTGCATTTTAACCCCTCTGAAAGCATTTTTCTTCCATTTTTCCCAATTACCCCTCTGGAAAAAAGGCCAAATTTCGAATTCCCACTTGGAAAATGAGACAGGGGGGGGGGGGTACGGGCACAGAGGTAAGGGTATTAAATGTAATAGCCCAATGTATCAAATTTCTACAGCATAATAACAGTACTCTATTTTCGCGCCATTTGCCCCATTTTCGTTCTACGTTCTAATTTCTCGACAGCTGACAGCATTTATATAATTCTTTAAAATGGCCTTTGTTCAAGCCATCGCGGACTGGCAGTCGACAACGAACACCATCTTAGAAAGAAACCGTCGTATGTTCAACAATTCAGACATGAGTGACATCAGCTTCACTTGCGAAGGCTCACACAAGACATTCTATGCACATAAATATGTCTTGGGCACGAGTAGTACCGTATTCCATGCGATGTTTTTCGGCGAGTTGGCCGAGAAAGGTTCGGTTGTTCATTTGTCTGACACAAACGAGCAAAGTCTGGAGGAATTCTTGAGATTTCTTTATACAGAGGACTGTACATTGGCCGCAGACAATGTTATTGCGATCATGTATATGGCAAAGAAATATATCATCCCTTCGCTCAGCGAGAAATGTGTTGCTTTCCTGCTGGAAAATATCAAGGTTGAAAATGTGCTGGACATTTTAGAGCCAGCCAGTCGTTTCGACGAGAAAGAATTAGAAAAACAATGTTGGAAATTTATACAATCTAACACAGCCAAAGTGATAGCATGTGATAGTTTCAATAACATCACTCAAACGGCCATTGCTAAATTACTGATGCAAGACAGACTTAGTTTACCAGAAGTGGGACTGTTTAAAGCTGTTTTAAAATGGATTGATTTCCAATGCTCGTGCAAGAACTTGGAACCGACAGGCGAGAACCGACGGTCGATAATTGGCAAGGCTATCCATGGATTCAGATTTTTATCCATGAGCCGGGAAGAATTTACTCGGCATGTTTCCAAAACCGGTTTGCTGACTGCAGAAGAGATGCTTCCCATTTTTGAGAAATTTATTGGAATAGATTCGCCTGCATTGAAATGGAAGTTGCCCAACAGGAAAACAGGAGAGATCGTCAGGTTTTCTAGATTTCCTGGAATTGAGGATGAGGATTTATTATTTATTATGTGTCATTCCGCTGAAAAAGAACCAGACCGGCTGTGTTTTTCTGTAAACAGAGACGTACTATTGCTTGGTGTTCGTTTGTTCGGACACAAGGATGGGGATAAAAGACGGGTCACTCTCACAGTAAAAAAAGCCAAAGTAACTGGGACATATACGCCCCAACCGGATCAAGACAACATTCATGGTTTTGATGTGATGTTGAAGAAACCCCTTAAACTGAAGCAAAATGAGGTTGTAACTTTTTCTGCCACAATAAAACGACCAGCCGGACCAGGGCGTCATGATCCAGTTGGCCATCCAATGCTGATGAATGGACAGATTGGGTTATCTAAGGTCACACTTGAAGGGGTCACTATATCCTTTGACAAAGCTCCATCCCCCAATAACAGAACTTCTGTTACTAGAGGACAATTTCATGAAATAATACTTTCTATTTAATTTAATGTTCACGATTGTAAATTTTGCTCGCCAGTATTAAAGGGTGGGAGAGTAAAAAAATAAAAATTTAAAAAAAAGAATCGTTTATATCGGGATATCTGTAATCCAACGAAAAAAGCTTGGCCTCGGGGGTTATAGTATATGTAGGTTATGTTTGTTTCTGTTCCTATGTTCACCATATTAAAGTCTTCAAAATGTAAACAAACTGCACATCTGCTGAATGGAATTGACTGCCCTTTAAAGAAAAGTGATCATTGTTTGTAATAATTCAATTCATATTTAATTAAAAACCAATGAGCTCCATTGCTCTCCTCTTGATGGGTAAAGAGTAAAATAATCTGGTGTTAATTAAACAGGGTAAAATAATAAAGCAGTGCTTTCAAAATAAGATGGCAGCCCCTGGAGTTCCGGCGGGTGCTAAAAGGTTCACTGCCAGTTACTTTGTTTAGGACTTGAAATACTGTATCAATTCTGCTTTTCTTCTACAAAGCTTTCAAACAAAGTTATTTTCGAAAACCATGTGCTATTTCATAAAACTGATTTAGTCATTTGCCATCTTAAAAATCTTGAAGTTGTCTTGTTGAAGAATGAAAGTAGTGATAAATTATAGTTCGGTTCCAGAGCTCAGTTCTGTTGCTATCTAATCAATATACACTTATGTCTAATTCATTTGGATGACTTTAAGACTCCCTAGATCAACTTCCCACAGCCGCCTAGTATACTTTATCAACACAGCCACCTACTCAGAATAATTATGAAAGCCCTGATAAAGAGGGGATATTAGGGAGCACTGCAACTTAATCGGTTAAAACACTAATTTTATAGAGCTATCTTACCTGTTTGTAGACAACATAAGCAACATATACAAAACATCGCCATTTTCTCGTAACAGAAACACCGGATACACCACATCGTCACTGCTACCTCGTACTTTGCTAAATGACTTAGTGTTCACAGACCCAGCAAAGTCGAATGAAATCACTATCTCTCCAAATGCTTCTGCAAACGTAGTTTTCCCAGGACAACAGAGATTTTGGTCTGGTGGAACTGAGCCAACACTGATTATGTCCAGTGGACTGAGAGGTTTCGTGATGTTATACAGCCTGTTGGTAAAGAAGCAATAAAAATAGACACAAGTACAAAATTTCAAAGGATCTGTGCCAATAGCGTATTAACTCAAAGGGTCTGTGCCAGTGATGATAACATGACAACAGCTAGGGATAGAGAGATATACTACCACCTAAAAAATACAAGCAGAACTTGGACATTTCAAGTGACGGCACTTTGTTATGCCCTTCATCACTACTAACTACCCAACGAAGGGCATAACTACCCAACTTGTATTTTCTGGTGGTTCTATTTGCTATGTACATACTGTAGAATGGTAAGATTCTTAAAACAATGAAAAGACAAGAGAATATTTTGATCACTGAAACATGACTGGATGACATGGAGAACAATGGGATTTTCAAAACAGTGAAAAGGCATTAGGATCTACTGTATAGACTACTATCATTTGTGTCTGAGCAACCTGAAAAATATTAAATTTTAAAACACTTGTCTTTAAAAGAAAGCCATTGACAGGCAGTTACTTGCCATAGAAAAAATACTGGTGTACCGTTTGTGTGTAATTGTTCCTGAAATGTATTTCAGACATTTTCTAACCTTATTTGGTTATCTGAGGTTAAGATGACCAGATGGATATCATCACGACAACCTGGGAACCACTTTGTTTCAAATATTGTGATTGTTTGATGACACGTAAAAAAATGTTCATCCACATTAACTGATCTATAAACACAAATTACAAGGTACATGTACATTTTACAATGATAACTAGTAACCCCCTCCCCCATATTTCAGAAAGTGTCTACCACTGACAAAAGAATTTTACTGAAATTCTAAATGTCTATAATCTGTGATAATGCAATAATTAATCAATTACAATGCTGAATTAATGGTGTTTATAAAGCTGTGTGGTGAACTGAAAGATTCGGTTGGTTCAGTACTTATTTAGCACTGGGAGTCACAGCTCTAATGGTCATTCGCTAGTCATTATTCACTTGTCTTGCGCTTTTTACATAACACCTCAACACAAAAATTTAAAAACCTGCAGTTGATTTTTTCTTTGCCATGTTCAAACTGAGTGAACTTTCCTCTTTTCTGTGGCAGTTCAACAACACAGACACCATGCTGACCAATCAGAGCGAGGTATGCCCCAGTCTCGCTAAACACCATCTTATTAATGTTGAACAGGGGAGGACTGGTGCATAGCAAGGTCTGGAAGAAAAAGATGTTAGCCTCTAAATTGAAAAGTACTTGCATTGAGTTACTCTGAAAAACTTTGACCACATGTGGCATAGTTGTTACAACATGACTGTGTTTAATATTTACTATAATTTTCAAAAATGACATACTATTTCGAAAAACTGATTTAGTTATTTGCCATCTTAAATCTTAAAGTTATCTTGTTGAAGAATGAAAGTAGTCATGCATTATAGTTTGGTTGCAGAGCTTGAGTTGTGTTGTTATCTAATCAACATAATTATTTTCAGTTTTTGGATGATTTTTATAAGGCTATGTTTACATTGTATCAGATAGGTTTTTGCTTCATTCACTAAACGTTATGGCCCAAGTGAAAACAGCTGAATCTGCCCCCACCCTTCTATGGCAAAAATATTGCAGATGTCATTTGGAAGAGTGCCCCAAGATATACCCAAAAATAAGGTCAGAATAGCATTGTTTGGTAGGCCGTAGGCGCCATCTTGAATCACAAATCGAACCAAAAATTGCTCCGACTGGTATTTACATTAGAATGAGAGCGTTGCAAAATCCAATCCGGTGCAACATGCAGTTGGAAGAGTAGACCGCCACATCGCTTTGATGCAGAAATTGATTCGATTACATCATTTCCAGGCCTTAAAATATCTTTTACATGGCCGTCTGACAAAATGTCCGGTGACGTTGAGTTTGGGTCGGACATATGTCCGGTGACCTTCAGTTCAGTTTTGACTCGGAAATAAGTCTGAATGACACAAATGAATAAACGGTAAATGTTGTAAAGATATTAAATAATTTGTTTCTTTCATACTTATTTTCAAGCCAAAATTAACTTGCTTGCCAGAAAAGCAGTATTAAAAAAGCCTTCGACAACTTAAGTCCGTTTTCCACTTCACCATTTCGCTAGCCGCCCCGCGCTCGACTACGTTAAAACAACATTTCCAGTTCAACTTTTATACAATAGTACTCTGTCTTTCCATTTAACTTACAAGCCTCTAGTCCTGGGCTAGGATACATTTTGATTTACGTCGGACAAAGCTACAGTTAGGTCGGACACCAATACACTCGGGTCGGACAAACAATAAACCTCAGTTTCACTTTGGTCGGACAGAATGTCCGGTGGTTTCCTCTCTACGTCGGACAATTTCACGAATGGGTCGGACAATGTCCGTGACCGACCGATATTTTAAGGCCTGCATTTCATATGTAAACACAAGCCCTATCCGGTATGGTTTTTGCGTCACTACACTATGGTTTTTGCATCACTACCGGTACAGTATAAATGTAGCCTAAGACTCCCTACACCGCTCCCCACAGATGCCTACTTTATCAACACAGGCTACACAGCCACCTGCTCAGAAATGAGTCAGAATAATTCTCAAAGCCCTGGCCCCTGGAAAACTGTTTTTTCTAGAACTCAACTAACACTGACTACTTCAATACTACCTGTAGCTTAGAAGAGCGCTCATTCTTTGCCTTCAAATTCTTCAAGTTAGCCACATGTATCTGCTTCCAGTCATCGTCCCATAGAAACAAATCTCCATGCATTTCAGCAAGGACATTCTTATCAAGGTAAACCTCCTCTCTTGGCAGCTTTGCACGTTTCTCGAGCGCTTTGAATATTGCATGATTTGGTAGAAACGACTCCCAGCTTAAAGGACTTCTGTCCGAATCATTAGCGAGGGAATTACTCGACTTATTTCGAAACGAAAGTTCCGTTGCGGCAGCCATATTGGAAATAGTGGAGCGAATACTTTGTGTAAACACAATATTGAAAGTATTCGTACAGATCAGTGGTTCCTATTGGTTACTTTATCACCATTCTTATTGGCTGATAGTGTTTGCATTAGTTCATTTGTGTGTTTTAAAATTTCGCTCCAATGCCCAATAGACTGAATAGGGAGTGGTCATTATTAATACACTTACTCAAAATTTTGTTTGCCCCACCCTTTTCTCTTCGGTGCCCCCCCCCCAGCCATTTAAATTAAGGTTGGGTAAATGAATAACAAAACAACCCAAAGGTTGGGTAACAAAAAATAGTGTCAGTTCCAAAGCATGACTCACTGAAATAATGGAGAGTGAAAAGCAATGTCAACAGTCATATGTAAATCAATCAGAGCATTTCTATAAACGGTGATAAGAGTCACTATCTTGACCATTTTCCGATTTGTTGGGAGACAAATGGTGTCCCCAAAGAAACTACATTTGCAGACAATATGAAACTTTAGACTGTAGAAACTTTCACAAGCCGACCCGTTATCAAACTCATGTCACAGAAGTGGTGAACGACATGTGTGACAACTGACTGGGTATTTATTTTTTAATTGATATTTGAGGTTGGGTAATCAAATATTTTGACTTTTCAATGGTTGGGTCAGCAAAATGTTTCCCACAAAAAAACATTTCTCTTCGGTGCCACCCCTCGCCATAAATAATGACCGGTCCCTAAGGACATCAGAATAATGTCAACTTCAAAAATTTAGCTGTACGGAAAATCATATTTTAATTCAACCATGAATATCAAATGCTGCTTAAATAGTATTATTGGTAGCATATAGTATCATACAGATTATGGCTCTTCATGTGCATCGGCCATTCGCCTAATATATTAATACAGATAATTATATCAACACCAGCTACAGATTAAGATTATGATTAAAAGTTTAGCCTAAATAAGTTCCATGCATACGAATAGTCGCATACAATTATCATTCTGGCGTATGAAAACGACTCCTGACGCCAAGTATTCCCTGTTCATCAATTTCATGCTTTGAAATGTGGCATCTTTACACGCATGTATTCGAGTACATTGGCCAGGATAAGAATCGTATACGACTGGACGTATCGATTTCGTAAAGCTTAAAATAAATAGATTTCCATTTTCGTTTTTGATCATCAGTTTTTGTGAAGTCCTCTGTTACTCCTTATCATCTTCTTCGAAACGTGAGTTGGACCACTTCCGTTGAAGTCGGTTGTTTTGACTTTGCTTCAATTTCTGCCTCAAAGATTGGCATTTATTTTCCATAACTTCGCAGTAGGCCAGACGCTATAAAACAAAATTTATAGACATAAGTACGAAGGAAACCACAAAATTTTATAATCAGGGGCAAATATGGCTACCACAAACACCGCCAGACACAACACTGGATTTCATTAATTAGAGAATCGGCTGTGGAATTCTTGAAAGTTACTGAATCCCTCCCCTTTAGCCTCCTGCGCAGACGTTGTTAGTGGCCGAGGGCCCGGGGGCTCACCACTAACAACGTCTGCGCAGGAGGCTACCTCCCCTCTCGCACAAAAAAATCTTCCGCTGTCTATCTGGGGGTTCCGTGGACATGATTCCTCGGATACCTCCGGAGAAGAACGATTTTTCTATATCATCCAGATCTGCTAATTTACAAAGTGCTTCCTTGTTACGTGTCAACTAACCCGCATTCCAGAGGCATATGAGAAGGGGGAGAGGTACTGCAGCACACCCCCCCCCCTCCGCCCTCCAATAATTTGTTTGGTCGGGCAAACGTAAAACACATAAAAATTGAGCAATTGTAGAATTAATTAAAGGGAAGAGCTATAGATCACTGACATTTGACAAAATGTTTGTGGTGCCATTTTGACTATTCTATTATTTCTATATCAATCTGTTGGCTGAAAAAGGTCAACTTTTAATTCTGAAATATTAAAAGTCGCAACCATATCGGTCATTAAATATTTATCCCAGACGGGGCGGAATAGACAATATATTAATTAATCGCACGACTTTGAGTTAATTGAGGAAGGAAAATATACGATCATTTATTATTAACGATTGTCAATATATTGTGCATGCGGCTTTCGTATAGGCTGATTCTTTAATAAGTACAGTACTGACATTTGTGTGCATGTCTGTTTTGTATTTCGACAGTAATATAGAAAATACGGATAGGTTATGTCGAGGCAACGAGGTGCCTCAAAATAACGTACTTATTTTTCACATTGCGAGGTCGCGTTAATAAGTCAGAATAGAAATAATTCTTAATGCCATGTTGCCTTCGTGATGTTGTTTTTTCTCATTTTTTGTGCTGCAAAGACACTCAGTACAGGTGAATATTAGAGGGGATTATTAGAGGGGAATATTGAATATATTCCCCGATAAGAACAAAGGAAACCGAGCAGGGTGAAAAATAAGGGGTTTTAAACACTTAATTCGTGCAGATGTTGAATCGAGCTTTTGAATTTTTCAATCAAAATTGTTTCCGACTGTTCAAATTAATAACGGGATTTAATGGGAGTGACAAAAATTACACATATGTTATTTTACATCTGAAATTGACCTTTTATATGTGAGCTGTTTCAATTCCACGTAATTGTAAAATAATCAGTAATTTTACATGTAAAACATTCACGCTTTGTAATAGATAACGTTTCCCTCGGTAATTTAAATTCGTGTTTTCCGGAAATCGCTCAAATCTTATACTTTTTCCCATTTCTATCAGATAAAAATTTTGATCAGCGCTGATATCTTTATAATATAGTGTTCATGATCAGACGCTGTCTGGTTTGAAATATTTATTTATAATTATATTTTACGAGCTGTCGATTTGGCGTCTGCACTCTTCAACGGGTAGTTTACAATGAAATAAATTGAGATGGCGACTAGACGGGCGGAACATTCAACACCAGAAGAAAGGAACGTAAAAAAATGTTGAACAATGCAAGGGTGGGACCAACATTGCAGCCAACCATGCCTGGAAGAATCACAGAATCGATTTTGAGAACGGAACAATATTGATATCATAGATATCTCATATATTGATATATACAATCGGCACATGCAGATCTACACTGAGAGCATGGGTATGGCACACTACAGCAACAAGAAATACTGACAATAATTCAAAACATTTACCAGAACAATATCGATTTTTACTCAAGAAACGTTAATAATTTTTTCCCCGCATAACGCTGGATCTAGTTCCCATTAATCACTTATGTAGGCGTAACTGTCAATTCTCATCACTCAGCTCGTCTCATGTTTTTGTTCCGTATATATGTAATTGTAAACTGTTGTCATCTCGATTTATTTCATTGTAAACTACCCCATTGAAGACTACAGACGCCAAGTCGAAAGTTCGTAAAATAAATATTTCAAAGCAGAGAGTGTCTGAACACTATTATGAATAATCCTATGCAGGGTTCGTAGTCTCCAAGACCAAACAAATTCAAGGACTTTCAACTAGATTTTTTCTGACAACTGAGACTTTCAAAGACTTTTTCAAAGACCTTTGAGAGCAATCAGTTGTCGAAAAATTGCGAGTGTAAGCAACATTTTACCCAGTAATTAGTCCCGTCAAATCACATCCTAAAATGCGCATTTTCGTCGATATTTGCGAAAATCTTGCTTCAATCAATCTATTTTATTGGGTAGGAAATCGTATAATCAATTCCTCACTAAAGAATTTAAAGACTTTTAAAGACTTTCGTCGCTTTTTCACACAATTTCAAGACTTTTCAAAGACCTCAAAGACCTGCATTCCAATTTAAAGACTTTCAAGGATTTCAAAGACCGCTACGAACCCTGCAATAGTTTCGCTTCTAACATCTTTAACTCTGATATCTTTGATAAAATGATCAGTGGAGGCTAAAGAGCCACCGGTGTGAAACTCCATCAAACTTTATGAATTATATGGCAGGGATCTTGTTCTGGGGCTTCTAGAACAATTCACACCAGGACGCCATGCAGGAGCGTAATTTTTCAATAAGGATTTTGATATAAAATATAAATGTGTATAATATAGTTAAATTCGTAATACCTCATCTTAAAGTTCTGTGTCAAAACGGTTTAAACTATCAGTATGAGAAATTGAGAATATATCAACCCAATCATGAACATAGTTTTGAAAAGTTATTAGAAGTCACATATAACAATAATGCTTGACGGAGATAGATAACATTATATTAACTATAAAACATAAAATATGAATCTTATCGATTGATTTAATGGATAAAAATGATCAGATACAATTCAGTGAGTCATGTACAGAATTTTATTAAAACATTTTAATAGATGGATGCCTAGCTCCGATCGTTCCTATGCCTGTGTTAAAATTGTTTCTTAAAAATTAATTAATATAGGATTAGGAGCATCAGTGTTTCATGAAAAATTTTAAAACTACTGATGCGACAAATTGTTACATAAGTACTGACATATAACAGTCTTGACAATCCATACTTTTAAATAGGCGAGAAATTGATTTCCTGATAAAAACTAGCAGCATGAGTGTAAAATTCATTATAAAAATATACAATAATAAAACGCAAAACGCTTTAGGATATGTTGAATTTCTTTGAAACAATTTACCTCATCAAAAGTCCTACGCCCTGTGACCGTACCAGCACCAGCAGAGAATTCTTGGGAGTCGTGAACGAAATTTAAGATGGCGAAAACTACAACAAATACGGTGAAATAGGTCTTCATTTTTGAATTTTGTACTTTCGTGTCTTGTCAAAAGTCTCCAGTCGTTTGAAACAGCTTGAATACGGCGGCGGTTTGCACCAAATGTGATGAGGGATTGAAAATCGCTTGTTTATATACTTGTTGGCAAGTTCATTAAGTCGCACGTCCCTTTACATAAAGAATGCTTGTCGGCTCTTTTCGCCTACTTACAGTATTGTTTACAGCACTTGTAGGAATAATAGACTTTGAAAATTAGAGGGAATTAAAAAACCCGGCTTATGAGCCATCAAATGTGGTATAATTTGGCGGCCACACCTGCCCTACGTCGTGAAAAATAGATCCGCTTTTTTATTCGCAACTGTACAAAAGTTTTTCCCGCCAAAAAATGACATGCAATTTTTCCCATTTCCTGTGAAATATAAGCGTTTTTGTGTCGTTTTTAAAAGATAAAAGTGACAACTTATTAATATCTTTCAACTTCGATATCCTAATAATGACTTCAAATCGATAAAAAGCTCATAATTTTCAAATTAAAATGACAGTGCGTGTTCATGTTAATCGCCTTTCATATAGTTGAACATACATTTAATTATCAACTCTGTATATGATTTGAATGTCCAGAGTATAAGTTGTCATTCGTCGTTTAATATTCAAGAGCGTTGCTTTGTGTATTTTTGTTTAATATAAGCGCAAAACCTTTGGGATAAACAGTCTGTTGAAAGGATTAGTTTTGATTTTAGGTGTTTCGCTTTGTTTTCTTTAATGAAAACGTTTTACTCAACAAAACAGGTGAAATTTATTGTTGTATATAACAGGCAGGGTTTAAAGAACGAAGACAATTTTTAGATGTCATACACTGAAAAATTATTAAAACTGACTAATGATTAATGCACTGTTTGCCTGTGTATTAAATGCACTAAAAAGCGTGGGTTTTCGTTTATATCTTCAAATTATGATCTGACATTTGTAAACTGACTATAACTCCCATTATACATGCTTTCTATCACGTATCTTAAATTTTTTGGCTAAATTGTTCTCTGTCACTAAAATCTATAATTATAGTCTAAAGTGTCAGTAGACAATGTAAGGGGCCTATATGCAGCATTATTATATGAGTATTGAATTTTATACGCGATAAAGTTTTCGAATAAAAACCATATGCCTAAAATTTCTGAGGATCTCATTGGACATACGACATGCGCCACTAGTGAAGAACGTCGTATTAGCCTTCTCATTGGACGTACGGAATTTGTCACTAGTGAAAAATTTCGTATTTACTTTTCCCGCCGCGCCACTGGCGTACAAGAAAACAACAATCAGTTTTTTTAGATGTCCGTTCGACTTTTGATTTGAAATGGCTTCACGCTTCGCAGAGACACCATCCGTAAGCGAATTCATTGAACAACAGGAGAATAATAATACAAGAATTTTAAAGCGAAATAATTTATTTGTTGTAGCTATTGTTGTACTTTTTGATGCATATTATATATATGTTTGAAACGTTTGGTTTGAATTGTGTCTATCGTTCAGCACTTAAATTTCACTCTAATATATAATAACTCATATATAATAAACAAATTACTTCATGGTTGATTCGCTTGTACGATTTTTATTATGCACTCGTTGCGAAAAATTCCTATAAACTCACTCGTTCGCTGCGCTCACTCGTTCGTTTATAGGAATTTTTCGCAACTCGTGCATAAAAATCGTACGCGCTCATCAACCATGAAGTAATCTCTATTTATATTGAAGATCTGTACCGCGTTGCTTGCATGATGTACTATTTCAGTACATCTAGCAATTTCCTGATAAATGTATCATGCTACGGTGTTTTAATCGGTGTGTTTTAGCCGAGTATTCCCAGAGAGATATTAATTAAAAGCTCCTCGACATTTCGTGTAACAAAAGACCGAAGTTGCGACGTAGGGCATGTGTTTATCCTGACAAAGGCTTTCGTTCGAAATGTCAAACAAAATTCTTATTTATTTTCGGTTTCAAGAAAAACAGCATCTTGTCAAATATTAACTGGACTGCATGATAAATTCTATACAGCATATGTCGTTCTCCTCAAGCCTAATTTTTAGTCGATTTTTTCGAACTCATGCAGGTGGTATATAAATATATATAGAGAGGATATTACCTTTATCTTCGAGTGGTGAAACCAATATTTTACGAACGAGTGCAGCTCGTTCGTAAAATATTGTTTTTAACACGAGAAGATAAAAGTCATATCTTCAAGCCACCGTGTAATGTTCTGTTTATTGTATAGTCCCAAGCAATATACGGTCATGGTCAGGATTAAGACACCAAATATTATTGTATAATTTATACTATACAACTAGTAAAATCCAAATGTATAGATATATTTTAGTCACGTTCTACCAATATACTCCCACGGGTACATTGACGTACGTCTCAATTAAAGAAACAATTTTAGTAATTAATGGCTATCTTTCATCCTGTTAGTTACGCGGAAATCGATACGACAGCTTTTTTCTTTCTACGTAGATTTCATCGGAAACTTAAAACGGATCAGTTAAAATAATCATTCCATACTTCCCTTTGCTAACACGCGCTCAGTTAAAATTGATGTTGCTCACATCATACGAATTTGTTTCTTAATTTAAAAAGACTTTTGGTTTTCCTATATGCATGGACGTATTCAGGTGACTGTTTTGTTTTAGGCAAATTAAAATATATTAAATTAAGTCAGTGTGAAAAGCCCCAGAAAAACGAGAATGAGGGTTCATGAGAGCTGCTGGCGGTCACAAATTGTTACGGTGGTCATTTCAACCTCTGCAGGATTAACAAAATGTTTGATAAGTGTTTCAACTGCGTTTTAATCTAAATAAGATAAATGATATAGTGTTGGGGAAGCATTTAAGAACAGTTAACCAAGGTCACGTGATTGGCACTCTCGCTCGTCCTTGTTTGACCCAGGTTGCTTTAAAGCATGAACGTTTGAATTCAATAGTAAGATACCTTAATCTTTGTTTTACATACTGGAGACCTGCATATAATCTAAACGGTTACAAATAAAGAAATATAATTTTAGGGGACACTTAATTCCATAGTTGCTGAAAGAAAAGATATATTTTACTTTAGGGTTTCCTTCTGTAGCAACACTAAACCAACAAGAGATGACCCTTACTTGATCTCTATATAGGAAGAACAAGTTTAGAGCCGTTTGAGCTATCCAGAATAAATAAAGTTAGTTTAGTTTTGGTTTCCTCCTAGCTGTAGTAACACTGCATCAATAAAATATGGCCTTTACTCATGGATCCGTTGCATGGGAAGAACAGTTTATAGATCTGATAGAGCTATCCAGTATAAATAAAGTTAGTTTAACCGTTTAGGTTTCCGCCTCCCGTAGTAACACTGGATCAATAAGAGCGAGATGACCCTTACTTGACCTCTATAGGAAAAACATTTTAAAACTGATAGAGTTATCCAGTATAAATAAAGTTAGTTTAGTTCAGGTTTCCTCCTGTAGTAACACTGGATCAATAAGAGATGATCCTTACTGAACCTCTATATAGGGAGAACAGTTTAGAACTGATAGAGCTATCCAGTATAAATAAAGTTAGTTTAGTTATTTTATCGCCATGCAAACATTCAAAGAACTTAAAGTTAGTTTAGTTTAGGTTTCTTCCTGTTGTAACACTGGATCAACAAGAGATGACCTGTACTTGACCTCTAAGAAGAACGGTTTAGAACTGATGTAGCTATATCCAATGTATAAAGTTAGTTTAGTTTTGGTTTCCTCCTGTTAGTAACACTGCATCAATAAAAGATGGCCTTTACTGAACCACTGCATGGGAAGAACTGCAGTTTAGAGATGACAGAGCTATCCAATATAAATAAAGTAAGTTTTGTATAGGTTCCTCCTGTAGTAACATTGCATCAATAAAAGATGGCCTTTATTGGACCATGCACTATATAGGAAGAACATCATTCAAAACTGATATACAGTCATCCAGTATAAATAAAGTTATGGTTTAGTTCAGGTTTCCTTTTGTATAGTATAACAATGGAGCAATACAGTTACTGCATGCATGTATACTGACGTTAACCGTTTGCTTGATATCGTGGAAACTGTTAGAAATTTATTCTATTGTTATACTCTGCATGTAAAATAGTCAAAATAATATAATAATTATATTTCAACATTTCTATAAATACACAACAATGTACTACTCTTTACACCTCCCCTACAAGAACTATATACGTCAAGTATCCCACAGTCACATCAACCCACGGACTTGAAACTGCCCCAGCTAAATTACTGTATTATATTGCTCCATTACATCGCTATATTTTAATTTCCTTTCATAATTTATAAATTAATAAAAGAGCCCAGCAAATCATATTTGTGAAATTTTATTAGCTAACGCGTTTTGTTGTGTACAGTATACAATATTTTGTAAACTGCCCGACAAAAATATTGAACGTGCTTATATGATTTTTAACATTAATCAATCTTTTCTATGTTTGGTCAAATTTTGTGTAATGTTTTTTATAAAACAACGCAATGCGTCAAGGATGAATTTTCATTTATAAAGCAGGGCCGCCCAAAGGGACGGGGTGCTTTGTCGTCCAGATCTCTATCGAGTATAAATAACGTTAGTTTAGTTCAGTTTTTCCCCTGTATATAGTAACACATTTAGAATTAAGTTCTTTGTAGGTTTGCATGGCGATAAAACATATAATAGTTTTGTTTGTGGAAACACCACGTAAATTTATTACTGCAAAGCTTTCGATCCGTAAGCCCGGATCTTCATCAGTGCTAATAACATTTAGAATTGATGGAACTATTCAGTATAGACTTCCATTTTTCTTTCCACTTCATTACAGATAAAGAAACTTGTTTTAATGTGGTGCTATCGATCGAAAAAAAGGCCAACAATAAAATATAATACACTCCGAGTGAAACGTTGGTTTGATTCTATATGTTTGAAATTATAATACACACATCAGAAGTATACATACGTTATTATATTAAATCAAGTTTTGGGAAACAAAATAATTTGATTTCATGTAGACTGTATAGTATTACGATTTTAATACTATTAGTATTTCTCGGTTTTTAGCCTTTCTTTTCATAGTCGACATGGCTATGAAAAATGCCTCGACGTTGCTATTCTTGTTTCATAAATACGTGTTTTTATCTTTGCTGTTTGACTGTGTCAATATTCTTGAAAGGGTTACAAATATTGAGTTTTGAAGTCGACATTTAATTAAAATGTATAACTATTATGTCAACACGACAACAGTAACAGACGCAAGCAAGCTTTCATAATATTCATAATTTCGTTCTTTGTTGCCTTATTTCATATAAACAAACTTTAATTTGTGAATAGTGTAATAATTGAGATGCAAGTTAAACTCTAATGTTTTAAAAACTAACTGTAGCTATATCTTGGCAGAATTACTCAATCAGTTCTAAATAGTTCTTCTTAGCGATCTAGTAGTAAGGATCACCCCTTACTGGTCTAATGGCAGATCAAACGAGGATGAGAGTTGATGCGAGTGTGCAAGTGAAGTTTGTATAAGAGTTTTCTCAACTCACATCATGGCTGGTGAAATCAGAATAAGAATTGAATGAGAGTTGTCTTGATGAAAGTTGATAATAGGGAGTTTAAGCTTCACTCGTTTCCGGGAACGGCAGGTTCGAATTTTCTTGGCAAAATTTTCGTTGAACGTTTTCGTTTCATATTTTCTTTCTTGCGTCGAAAGAATAATTATGTATTTCAGTTTTAAAACAGCAAGTTTGTGTACTCTTTATTGCCTGATACCGTAACATTTTTCCTTGCCTGGCGTTTGCCGTATAACGCGAAGCTTAAACGCTCTATTATACCGACCAAGCGAGCAAAAGCTCTCGTCAACTCTCATCAAACGTGGATGAGAGTTGACGAGAGTTCTCGGTCAACCGCGAGCAACTCTCTTTGACTTTATTATAAACGGTACTATTTCATCAGACTAATTATTTACAAAAATATTAATTAGAAATAAAGAAGAAGGGAAAAAGAAAAGGTAATCTTCCAATAGGCCGCGTGTGCATGCACTATATAAATATATTATATAAATTATCAATAGTTTTAAAATTAATTCAATGGCTGGAAATAAATTTCCAGTAATAGTATATTCGCTTCATTTTGGTTTTATCTTCTCAACGGGGATGAACTTTATTCATGTTATCTGTCAGTCTTATCTGTTCTCCTTAGCCTAGGCTTAGAAATCCGGAAATGGCCATCCCTCTTTGATCCAGTGTTACTACAGTTGAAACCTTAATAGCTCTATCTGACTTTATATAACATGAACATTAAGAATTCGAGCGCTTTCATTGGTCGAGAGCCATGATCTATTAGAGGACAGACGCACGGAATTATGTCACAATTAAGGTAGCCAATAGCATTTCCTTATTTGTATAGATCATGTACGCGTGATATTTGTAAAATTTCAAATTTCCAAATGTTTGGGGGGACAAATTGACTGATTATGAGTAATACTGTATATCTATAACTGAGACAACGGCAAAATCTTATCTATTTGTTAAATATAAACTCAAAGCTGAACGCCTTTTTAGGGTTATTACTATATTTTTAATTGATGGACAAAGCTTAAGGGTTTGTACCCGGTGGTAGAAATTATCCTATAGGATAAATTGCCCGACCGGAAGTTTGCGTTGTGATTATTGAGGCGTGACTTAACTGTTAAATATTCAATCTCCGAGCAATAAATTACCGTTTTATTGATAAAGAACGATTTTCTAATCTTTATAGTAAAGTAGACATTATCTAATTAATGGAAGGTAAGATCAATAAAGTTTATCATGTTTTTCTAGTGGATATTATTTTTAAGATTTTAAAAGTATTTGTTTGATATAATGTTATTTATTGTAATTACATAGAAAAATATTTTGCTTTAATATATAAAACATAAAACAGATTTTTAACCTTAACCCCAAATTTTAAAATATGTTGTGTCGATGATCGCAATCGACAAGCCGTTGTATTGAATTGCTTTTTATTTTAAAACCAAAAGCAATCATTTTTAGAGTCTTGTCTTAGCTAATCGATTCAACAGGTACCGTGAGCAAACTAGTTTATTCATGTACGTTTGAAGAACTTCAACAATATATGGGAGTTGTGTTTAGTAGGCGACCTCCGTTCTTTACGCGCAGCAGGATAGGCAATGCCAGAGGCGGGGCTAGGCCTCCTTCAATGGAGGGGGGAGGGGGTGAGGTATAGTTTTTACGCCGAGTCATTAGCTGGGTCTGTATTAGCTTAGCTGTGCACGCGCATATTTACTCAACATTTCATATACGCGGATTACGCGCTCATAGGCTATTGAGCTGTTTTGACGTTGTAAATTACCCGTTTGTTGTAAATTGATGTTGTGTATACATCAATAGGAAGTTAGGAACAAAGCCAATTCATTCATACTTGTGATTGCAAACAGAGCAATCGTTGTCTCAAAACAAGGGGGATGAAGTTGAAAAAAGTGCATTACAATGAAGCGGTTGAGCGTGTATTACCTTGAATCATCTAAAAGTTAAATACTGCAAACCTTTGTATTCCAGGGATGTTGGGGGTAATCCTGGCAGCTGGTATAATCCATCTTCTTCAAGGTAATGTAGAAATCTAGTTAAAAACAGAAATATAATACGTTGCTTACGAAATAGTGTAAAATATAAAACAGTATTTATTATTAAGTATATTTCTCAAATGAAGAGAATCAAACGGTCTTAGTAGGTTTTTCAAAGTTGGAAGGAATGAGAATATATATTTTAAAATATACACAATCTATTTAAGAATTCTTTTTAATAGATCGTGTATATATGTATTCATGTACACTTTTTCGGAATAACATTAGATTTAAATTTCCTGAAACCATCAGCCGGTAAGGTACCTTGATCCTCAGCAATTTCATATCCTCTATTTCCAGGCGAAGTGGGATGTACAGGACTAGCGGGTCCAAATCAAATAGATTTAGAATCAGGTACGTTCTGCAATGTTGTAACCATGAAATAATTAACGTATTACAGTACAAAACCCATGGTAGAACCCTGTATGAGATGTTATTTCAAATCCTTCAATTCGGACTCATTCTCGTCCTCAGAGCCATTTTAACTTGGTCACTCGTTGAAAATTAGGCTCTGGGTCAGACGACTAAAGGGAGAGATCTGATTGGCTTTTCAGAGAAATGCTATTTCCAAGAAGTTGAACAGTTTTCGCTACGCAAAATTATTCTATCAAAATATATCAACACAAATACGTTTCTTCGTAATACTTCTCTGTTAAAATTGTTAAATATGCTAAAGCGTCCCGATTCAAGGGCATGCGCTTTGGAAACTACTGCAAGTTTTCTTGCACTTCCGGTTCCGTGTATCCCAGGGCCTATCATCGGCTTCGCCTCAGACTTGATCAAATTGTGCAGACTTGAAATCTAGTCCAGTCCTCACAGTCGGTTTTGAAATATTACTTTAATTCTTTCTAGAAAAGGCAATAACAGTGTGTACCTCTCAAAAGAGATCGCTGACGTGTGGTTCTCCAGGATCCAGTATTGCGATCACTGACGTATTCTGGGGGAGACAGTCACGTGATATCTGTCCCTCGGATGATGGGGACGAACACGTGGATTGTGGTGCAGCGAAGGAGACGCCAGGGATAGTGAGGGGTATGTGCCAAGGAAAAGCTGCGTGTCAACTGGAGGCAAAACACAAGTTGTTACAGAATCCTGAATCTCGTCATTGTCCAGGTATAACATGGTGTTGAAATGGTTGGTTTCTCGCGCTTGCTAAAGCCAGGTTCACAATAGCAATTTTGTCGGCGATTTTGTGTTTCTGACAGATGCAAATGAGTGAACTCGCATTAAAAAGTATAGAGTCACTTTTCAGAAGT